TATATATATATATAAGCTAACTTTGAAAATGTAAAGATAGACTTTAAAGCTTCCTTCGATATGAAAATTGTGAAGATGGCATATGGACTGTGTTTATTTGGTTTATTTTATACTTGACAGTGAAGTGTAAAGTGGGTCAGTAAGAATTATGGCGACTAGGACAGAAAACCCAACTTTGCCGATATAAAGGACAAGTGTTTATGTCTGTTTTTGAAACCAGAACACAATGTTTTAAACTATTAAAGAGACACTGTTCAACTAGTGATAATTAGCTTGCTTGTTCAAGTTCAACAAGGGTAAGATCAATTCCCAGTCTTCCAAAATAATGTATTACATGATTTAAGAGCTATTCATACAGTGAAGTTGTATATAAGAGGTATAAATTCTTATATTGTTGACTTGACTTTGTATCACAGCTGGACTTTGGCATTCTAGCCAGGAACAAGAGACAAAGAAAGAATACCTTTATGGTTGTGATGAATAACTCCTTGGCATCTAGAACAGAAAAAAGAAAAAGAAAAACAGCATTGAACTTTTGGGGGAAAAAGTAATTAAGCATCAGATCAAAATAATAGGGTTCAGTCTGATTAGTGGTTTGGTTTCAAGTCTACAGGCTTATGGAAAGTATGGCTTCAAAAAGCCTAATGAAGCATATTGTTCTGCTGAGTTCCCTTCATGTGTTTTTTCTCTGAACCATAGCAAATAAATCAGCCAAACAGCCAGTGAAGGACAATGACAGTCTTGTTTTCGGTTGTTTTTTAGAAGAGCTGAGAAATTGGCTCCATGGTGAGGGGAGGTTGCGAGATACAATAGGTGGGGGGGACAAGGCTCATTTGATGGGATCAAAGTGAGGTCTTAAAGGATGTGTTTTCCTGTTCTAATCTAACCATCCCCTCCCACCACCACTGACCAACTCCTTTTCACCATGTAATCAGGGGATAAAACCCCCCAGCCAATCCCATCATTACTCATGACACTCACAGTTGTTTTCTTCTTGCTCTAACTGTGAGCAGTGGCATGCCAGGACTTAACATGCCCTGCCAAGGTCTGTCAGAGAAGAGAAAATGATGGGAGGGTAGGGGTCGGGGATGTGGGGCATGCAGAGGTGCTAGGGGTGCAAGTTTTTCATAATTGCATACCACAACAAAAGCAGCTCTGGTTGGGTAATATAAAGCTGATGACATGATGCCAGTCTCCTCTAGTGATGATGGCAGGACCTACAATCTGCGGAGATGCTTGTCACTTCACTGCCTGCCTGCTGAGTCCTCCTCTCACACAGTTAATTGATTCATCACAGTGCTTTCTGGAGCACAGTAGGGCAGTAGCCCCTCCACTGGTGAGAAATAGGAGTCTGTCAGTGTGGACTGGACCCCTGTGTGAAGTTTGATAGGCCTCCAGCAGTCTAAATCTTGCCACAGAATTTTAGTTATAGCGTACATTAAAGTTGTAATTTAATGCTAGTTAGAGTAAAATGCTAAGAGTCCAATCAGAAAATGTTTTAATTGAAGGCGTGGAGGTGTTTTCAGTGCTTGTTTAAAATAAAACCTAATGGAGAAATGGATAATGGGGAACATCATGGTTAACAAAGTATCAAAAGTTGGCCCAGATCTTGATTTTTTTTTTTTTGAAATTGTAAATGTTTATACCCAGTATTCATTTGTGGGGTGGGGCTGCAATAATTAAGGGACAGTTGGATGGATTTAAAACTTTTATTCAATTCAGTTTTATTGATATAGTTACCTCCAGGTACATTAAACGAATGAAAAACAATTGGAGACCTAAGACACAAACTCGTGCCGATTAATCAGCCCATCAGTACCTCACCATTATTTCAAGCTTGGCACAACAAAGACAATGTACTGACACTGATTATTAGCTCTGGAAGAAACTTCTTTTCACGCGACTCTAAGGGAAATATCTGTAAGTAATAGACCTCATCTTGTGTACCAGCTACTTTTTACAAAGCTGGGAAGAAAAATGTATAAATCTGACAAGAATGTGGTCAAGCACTTGAAAAAACCCCATGCACATGAAAATAACTTTGTAAGATTAGCAAACACAACTTGAGGAAGAGAGCAGAGATTGAGCAATAACAAGTGCCCATGTATAATTCCCTGATAGCTGAAGTGTTGTTTGTTCTTACTTAGAACATTTTGCCTCATCAGAAAACATCCCTACACATGAAACAAGGGTTTGTAAAAGATCACATTAGTCAGTTACTAGACCTTTAACCAGGAGACCTGGGTTTGTGTCCCACGTTAAACTGTCATTTTCAGACTTTGCTTTATTTTTGAGACTTTGTTTGGTTTGGTTCAGGTAACAAAACTTCTTTGTAAGAGTGAGGAAGAGAACATGGTTTCATGATCATAGGTAACATTATTAAAAACCTGCTTAGAAATCTAATGCAACTCATGAACTAATGGCAATTTCCTTGATTGCACATCTCTCAGATGTAGCATTATTCTTACCTGCAGTAAAGAACCATGCAGTCAGGACTGCCACACAAACGAATAAAGCCATGCAGACTTTCATGTTTCCGTCCTGTAAATGACACAGACTACTTTAAATTTCTGTGAAAACATGACCATGTTTATGACGAGCGATGTCTTTGATTTAACATTGAAATTATCTGCAGACACAACACTTTTAAACAGGTTTTTTTGCAGTTATTTTTACTTGGGACATGAAGAAAAAAAAACCTTACCTCTTTCCTTACCTCTGCTCTGTCAGGCACAGTATGCAGAAACAAATTGTGGACACAGGGCGAGTCCAAGAAAACGAGTAAGAAATTAAAAATATCTTGTGAGCAGGCCACTGAAAAGACTTAGTGCGGCTGAAAGTAGTGGAGGGTTTATATGGGAAACAGAGAGGGAGGAGATAAGGGCTCACAGGGAGATAAACCCACAACTGCTGGGCCAAAAAAACTACAAAGTCTTGAGAGGTATCCAATTTCCTCGAGCTGGGTATGTTTTTCTGAGGCAGAATCACTTTATGTCTTAGATTTTCAGACTTTTAAACAGTTACCATGTGTTTTTGCACGGTTACACAACAGGATCTTTAACAACAAAGGAGGGCGGGGTATGGGTCAAGGGTTTTGGGAGCTTAACAGTGTGGTGGTGCAGTAAGCTTTACATATGGATGGACTGGAATGTCCCAGTGGCTCAGAGGAAGGGTGATTTTGTTTTGGAGCACATTTTCTCTCACTCCTGACCAACCATGAGGGATTCATCATCATAAATTCAATCTCTCCTGCAAAACAGCAACAGAGGTGACTGTGAAGCTATGTCCTTTGTTTAATTTGCTAGGACAAATGTTTTATTAATCTTCAGCAGTTTGTTAAAACTATCCAAACACCCACTCCCTACCACGTTTCTTTGTCTCAAAAATGTCTACGTATAAGCTGCAAACCAAACTGATTTATTTGTACAAAACAGGCAGTGATTTCATCTTGAAAGGAAAGACTTCATTCATTCTGTGAGACAAAAACCATTCTCTCAGGCCTTAAGTGCTAGACAGGGCCTGGAGGTTTCAGTTGAGAGGCCAAAACTTGCCAAATTGTCGAGATAAATACAGCTTTAAGAGGGACTCAGTAGATCTCTTGGAATCCTAATGAAGCTGTCTTTTGTATTTGTGTGCTGGCTGGAGCAGAGTCTGCAGCGCTAAAATGAGCATGTCGAGCTACACAAAGTCTTACAGAGCTGAGAAAGAGGCCTAGCAGTGTCTGACAGCTCGCCAGAGGTGGCTGTCAGCTTTGGAAATCACAGTCCTGACAATGGACAAACCTTTGACTGACATGCCAGTGTCCTGAGAAACCATGAAAACAGTGCATGGATCCTCAGCTCTGGAGAGTCAAACCCTAACACTTTGAGATCCAAGTACACTAACTCGGCTCTCGAACTTAAACTATTATAATGCCATTTTTGGCATCCTGACATGGGAGTTGGGGGCAAAACAAAGACCAGCATTTGTTTCTAATCTTTAAAAATGGTAAGCAGAGTTGGTGTTTTGTAGGGTCTTAACCTTACTACAGAAAGCACGACCTTTTCCTAACTCACTGTCTAGGAACTTGTGACGAAAAAAGTTGTTTGAGTGTGAAAATGCTAGTCTCAAGGAAACAGGCACAAATCCAAATTTAGGAAGTGTTTCACACTGAAACTTTATGATTGTGTGCAAATGTATATTTTAGCTACAAGTAAAATAACCCGAGTTAAACAACAACTCGATTCCAAAACCAGTCCAAAAGCACAGTATTGTCTCTTTTTAATATCTGATCTCTTAACAAGTTTGTCTCTCTTGTGAAGCTTCAAGGAACATTTTGTCTTCCTGCAGGGGGTCTAGTTCTTTTTTTCCCCTCCAAAGGTTGAAAGGGGTGATGGCTGGTAAACACAGACCCAAGCAGAGTCCATAATTAGAGAAGCCAGCACACTGCCAAAACCAAGGCCAAGGGCTTTTACATGTCACCTTGTGCAAGGCTGAATTAACCCAGCTAATGACTTTGTCAAAAAACTAAGACGGCTGCAGACAAGATTAAGTACAAATTAAATAAATGAGCTGTGAAATGTTCAGTATTATTAACTTAAGATTTATTCAGATCATTAATTCACAATGTCTAAATCAAACAAACAATACAGGATGCTGATGAATAAACGTGCTTTGAAATGCATAATTTTCATCTTATTTTAGTATCACAAACTACTGGAAACACAGGGTTTCAAACATGATGCCATTTTGATCATCATTAGACGATAAAAACAGTGTTTAGAATATTAATTTTCATATAAAATATATTTGCAAAAAAAAGCACAAGATTCGGATAAAGGTTACAGTACATAAAAGACATGCAGTCAGCATAAAAGGGCTAAAACTTGGTAGTACAGCACTGCTTCAAAACACAGCATCTAAATGCTGCGGCATGCCACAGATGAGAATGTTAGCAAAACCTGGTCAAATTACACTGTAACTACTACACAAAGAGAAATGAAGAACTTTAAGAATCGTTCCTTTCTTCAGCAAAAACATGAGATGAACCTTGGCTTTTAGCATTGAACTACACATCTTCCACAATGATACCATGCCATCAATTTAAAAAATATTGCTAGTGGATTAACGGTCTTATAAAAATGCATATAGTATCTAACTTTTACCACAGCCAAAGTAAGTTATTCCACTTCAAGTAAATAAAAACAACACGTCTTTGAAAAACATGTAAACGTGTATTGCTACTGTATTTGTAAAAAAAAGAAAAAAGAAAAAAGAAAAAAAAGAAACAACGAATAAAACCCTTGAACATGAGAGCAAATGATAGCCAACGAAACCAACATAAAAAAAAAAAAATTCCTGGTATTTGTCACTAAACACATTCTGGAAAATATCTAACATTTTGTGCAAACAGATTTCAGTATTTGTTGAACATTTTCAAGACGTTTCCTGATTGCACAAAAAATGTACATCATTGGTTCAAAATATACAACATTTAAATGTCAAACAGATTGTTCATGGATTACTAATAAGTGGTAAAACACCTTTCTTTAGACCAGTATTTTGCAAGATTTGCAGCTTTTTCTACAAGAAAGAAAATATTAATAATATAAATAAAATAAAAAGTTTTTTGCTGGAGCAAATTTATTCCATACTAGTTTCAGGCTTTCTCTCTTACAATCAGTTTAAAGTCAGCCAGTTCTTAGAGATTGAGCAAAAAAGAAACTGTAATGTTTTCAGGGTCGGTGGAGGTTTGGGATTGTATAGGGGAGGCATGTGCTGACTCAGCAGGGCATCTGCAAGGACTCTGGGACATGAAACAAGCACCTTCGGGGATCCCAAGCTCCTCAATGGGGCTACTACCAGTGCTAAGAGTAAGCCTAAAGCTTGCACCTCTGTACTGGAACACTTTGAAGCTTCAGTCTTTCCTTGGCCTCCCTGGCCCGGTTTGTAACGTACCACACACTCTGCTTTGGCTCCTGGAGGCAGTCCCTCGAACCAGGGTCTTATCACCTTGCTCTCCTGGGAATTCTTTAGACCCGTGAAGCGAAATCTCCAGCAGTCAGGGGCTCCACATCAGTCAGCTTCCGTAAGTGTTCTGTAAAGTGACTGGCTGAGTTCTGTGGGCTGCCATTTGGGAATTGGTCTTTGGTTTGCCTAACAGTGAAACTGCAGATGATGCTGTGGTACTTACTATCAAAGTTGCACCATATGTCATCAGAGGTCAGATCTCCAAGGCTTTTTGGACAAAGAAGCTGTAGCTGTTGTGGATGTAGCTGGAGGGGATGAAGATTGCTTCAGTTCCTCTATGAAGATCTGGCTCCAGGTGTGGCTCCTTTGACTCACTCTGCTGGCTCACTCTACCAGTGATTCTGCAGAAGACAGAGATTAAGCTGATCTTTGGGGCACTCATTTTGCTAAAGATTGAGGTTTGACTTGCTCTTGCATTGTCGCAGACAAACGCTGGGTGACAGCAGCTGGCCCAGCTGTTGGTGGTTGCCTGCCTCCAGTTTCCTCCAAAAACAATCATTCACGGTAGCATCTGCACAGATCTCTGGTACTGCTGACTGAGCCAACCTAGCTGAGGTTACATTTCCTCGAGCATGGCCCTCACTTTTTGTTCTTCTTATGTGAATGTGAGATGGCACTTGGCTAAAAGAAGCTCTCCTAATCTGAGCTGGAGGGACTGCAGGAGTTCTAGCCGACACGGTTGCATGAGGAGGTAGCTCTGCTTGGTCATCAGACTTTAACTCTTGAATCACTTTTTGTTTCTGCTGTAGTGTCCTGGTTTGGTTTGATTTGTGCTCCATGTAAAAATAAGTGTTTTTGTTGGTTTTGGGGTCTTTACTGTATCCTGATAGTAACATTTTCTCAACAGGGTTTGCCAGGAAGAGGGATGTGGTTTTGGAAACTGTAGAAGGTTTCATAGCATCTCCATTCACCACAATAGGACTGTGTACCATCCCATTTGAAGGAATGGTGTGCTGTGTTGAATGTACTGATGTAAATGAGGAGCGATGTGAATACTCTTCCTGAGTGGAGGCAGGATGAACAGAACGGATGCTCTCGGTGTCTTCTGGGGTTTAGTGCAAGAAATGGAAGAGGGGCATCTGGTCTGTGTACTGTAGAACAATCTGTCGAAAAAAAGAAGGAACTCTATAAGCTTGATCACAATACTGACCCAGTGGCAATAAAACCTAATCAATTTGAAAACTGGAGATCTTTGATCTGATGTATTTGGTATCAGCTTGGATATTGACATGCTAATGATTTGTATATTGCATAATTTAATATTGGCTAAAATAAATGCTTTTGAAATCATACATAAGTCAGTACCATGAAGCTGATGAAATAATCTGGCATGCTACTCATTTCTGCTCAGAAATGAGTAGCATGCCCTAAAGCACTAAAGTTGTCAAACAACAATAACCAGGCAGTTGTATCTTAGCTGTGTGGCACAATGGCTTATTCTCAATGTTGCCAGTAAAATGACAGAAAGCTAAAGTTACAATCTCAGTATTAGCTAACACTAGCAAGAATAATGGCGTCCCAGTGTAAGACCTGAATTTTTGCACTGTTCTTTTGCCTGCTCCCTTTACGGTTCACCACAGTGGCTCCATCTCATTATGTCACTAGCATCATCTTCTGTCAAACAAACTCTCTGCATGACATCTGCCACTACACCCATGAACCTTGTCTGAGGTCTTCTTCTTTTCCTCCCCCCTGGCAGCCTGATATACAACATAATTTGGCCAAAGTATCTGCTATCCTTCTGCTGCACATGTCCAAACCATCTCAATCTGTCCTCTCCAACTTGGTCAACCTAAGCTATCCCTTTGATGTACTCATTCTTATTCCTGATCATTCTGCTTCCTCTAGCTCTGCCTCCTGTCTTGTTGTTAGTGCTATTGCTGTGGTGGCAGGATTGGTGTATGGCTTAACTGCAGTAGTTGCCAAACCATGTCTCTCATATTTATACAATAGTAGGGACGATGTGTGGGACTACTATGCAGTAGAAGAAATGGAACTGGCAGAAGAGGAGAGTGACCACAGCTGGCGGGCAGTGATGTAAAGCAAACATCAGTACAAAATAAATTGTGTGAAAATAAAAGAGAAAACACTGAACAAAGACACAGTGTGAGATGGTGCATGTGTTGGGAGCTCCTGTAGCAGCAATTTGCTAAATTGGCACCCAACTTTCCCCCACGTGAAGATGTTGGACCGACAGCCCGTGTAGCTGGTGCACACATTGGTTCAGGTGGTGGTAGAACTGGCTTCAATACACCGACAGTAGGAGGCAGTGCAGCTTAAGCAGCTGGAGAACCTGCAGGTCCAGGCCAAGTGTGAAACTCAGGTTCTGGACAACCTGGTGGCTTGATATGGGTCCACCCTCACAGCTCCCCACAGCACAAGCTATCATGCTGGACAAGATGGGAGACAGATTATCTGCATTCCTGGACATCTTCAATGCCACAGCAGAATCATGTAGGTGTCTGGAGACTGATTGGCCAGTGCGGCAAACACTGGTGCGCTGAATTATTGGGCATTAAGTCTATTCAGACAAGCATCTATCATCCCAGGACTCCACAAGATGTTATTCCTTTAAACTATTTGGCAGGGAGCCAGGGGGAGTGTTGGAATAATTAAGGAAGGGTGAGTTTCTCATTCTGAAACTCACCCTGGCATGACGATGTGTTCACTGCCCTACAAATTACCTACAAACAAAGGCAAATACTTCAGAAGGAATTGGCTGATATGCTGGAGATGGGAGTAATAGAAGAGCCATACAGTGGATGGTATGACCTCTTGGTTCTTGTGATGAAAAGAGGATTCTGTAGAGTTCTGTGTAGACTAGCACAAGGTAAACGTGGTGTCACAGTTTGATGCGTATCCCATACTCCAGGTTGACAAACTGCTCAATTTTCCACAATACTTGATTTGACCAAGCACCATTGGCAGATTCCCTTGTCTCCAGAGTCTAAGGAAAAAACAGCCTTCTCTACTCCATATGGTTGTATATGGAGCCATGGTCACATTCCAGTTCTTCTTGGCCCAGGTGATGCAGCAACACACTGCATAAGCTGCCGCCTACCTGGATGATGTTATCATTCACAGTAACATCTGTGCAGAGCATGTGCAGCAGGTGGCTGCAGTCATGTAGTCTCTGCTGAGGTGGGGGTTCGGGGTTCATGGCCAACCTGAAAATGTTTGCAGTTGTATGAGGGTTACCACCTGAGAGGCAGACAGGTGCGCTCTCAGATGGCGAGGCCAGCAGTCATTGCATCCTGTCTGTAACAAAACCAAAACGGAGGTGAGGCAGTTTTGGGGCTGGCTGGTTCGTCCCGAACTTTGGGGAGCAGACCAGTCCCTTAACAGACCTCACCCAGAAAGTTGCCCCCAATTTGGTCCTGTGGATGCAGCAATGCCAGGTGGTGTTTCATGTGAAACCCTGCTCCAGACCTAACTTCTTCCCTCCCGTTTATTCTGAGGACTGATACTTTGCACACAGGGCTGGGGGTAGTTTTGTCACAGCAGGAAAAAGGGCTGATCACCCTGTGGTGTATTTCAGCTGAAAACTGTGAGTGTTAGACTTAGTGTAGCACACCTGAAAAAGAGCGCTTGGCTCTGGGGTGGTCGTCTCTCTTTATTCCTACGTCCTGGGGTGCTCATGGACCCTTTGCTCAAATCACGCCCCAATGCAGTGACTCTATTGCATTAAATATTCCAATCCCAGACCACCATTGGTATCTAGGTCTTACAGCCATATAAGTTCAACGTGATCCATAGGAGAGATATGATGATCACCTCTCCTCTTAACCTAGCTTCAATAACACTTTCCCATAGCTTGATGTTAATGCTCATCAACTTCACTATAACCTTAAAAGCTCCAGGAAATATATAAGGACTTTCAAATATTTTAGCCACTTTTTTTTTAAATGATAATTACAATCCAACTTAAATTTTAAATTTTTTAAGGTTTTTTTGTACTACATCATGCAGGTCCTGTGACATTAGTTTAATGAATTGTCTTTTCCACTTGTCCACACCAAGTCTCTATTTAAACCCCTAAACACAGATGAAGCTGAATTGGTGCATTGGTGAGGTACAGTATTTTTGAGAACAGGATGAGAACAAACAACTATGGTGGGAAAGAGAAAAGTTGGTGATGGATGAATTTAAGAGGCTGCATGCATTTAACAAAGTTTACCTGACTTTGGTCATCCTCTCAATTCTGCACTAGGATGGAAAGAGAGCATGCAAAAAGGGACACAGAGGGAAAAGGGTAATTTAGACAAACTGAGAAGAGAAAGACTGTAAGCAAGGAAACAGCTTTTTGGACAGAAGAAAAAACATCCTCACAAAAACTGGTCTCCATATCAGAACAAATCTCTCTCCATGTTAGACTGAAAAGAAAGATAATAGATAACGCTGCTAGAAAGGATTTATCTGCCAGCATCATATGACTTAACAGATGTCAGCTTGTAATCAGGCCAGAAAACTTGTAATTCAGCTCCCTACACAAACTTGCTTCCCCCATAAGGTTCATCAAACAGCAATGGCAATCACATGATGAACTGCAAAGGGCTCAAGGGGAGTCAGTTTAGGTAGAACAGCTGGTGTTTATAAGGAAGTCAACTCCTCTAAAAAATGTAATGTGTGGCTCAAAGGGGGATTGTGTGGACATAACTCAGACACCAGTACCTCGTGACTCGCAGGACTCAGCGGTTGTCAATTAAGTACCTAAAATATTCTCGGTTTCAGGACTCAAGCTGAATATACGTTGATTGCTATTAAATGCAATGGTGAAGTAAAGTAAAGGGTTTTATAAGATTCAATGCAAAATCCAGAATCCGAAACAAATACCCATGAAACATTCCATGGATAGTTGTTCTGGTGGCAAATTCTTTGTATTTCTATATTTTAAATAGAAGAACACATCTCTGAAGCACCAGATGTCCTTGAACAACATTTTCTAAGATGGATGTGGGCAATCCTTGCCCGATCAAAAAATAATTTCTTTCGCATCCACACAAACCATATTTTTCAGACCATAACGTGCACTGGATTATAAGGTGCATTAAATGAAACAAAACAGTCAGTTAAGTCAAACTTTACTCATCTCATTCTTCTTGCTTCCTTCACTTCCGTATCATTGATTCATTAATGTTGAATTCTATCACAGCTGCTCTATTCCCATGTTGTTGCAGTATATTAATCACTAACCTCGTATTGTGGATGGATTATCTCAGTTGGTCTCCTGATTGAAGTTTGGTCCGTTTACAGCATCCTGCCATGCGATCGCATTTGTCCCTAACCATCGGGAACCCTCACGTTAACTTTCATCGATTGGAAAAAAGTTCGCGTTCATCCTCCAGCTTCACTGTCTTTATGTTATGCTAACATAGCTGTGTCGCTAGCGATCACGTAGCACATCATTATATACCACCTAGCCCAACTTCAGTAACTCTACAAACGTCACTGCTGTTTAGTTTTCTGTCTTCATTTATGTTGGAAGTGATAACAGAGCTGTACGTTTTAATTTGTTTCAGAAATCTCTCAGTCAGAACATGCTATATCATGTTTAGGTGGAGGCTAGCGAGCTAACTTCCTGCTAACTTCTAACTCTGTTAAATTTCATAAATGTAATAAATTCTGTTTTCATGGATGCCTGGATGTTAAACTTAATTGTTACACCTGGTAAAGCAGCAACGCTGATCATTTTATTAAAGATGAAAGATTTTAGACAGTTTTTAACTATCAGTGATTGACTTTGGGACCTGAGGCTGACGGCGTTTAGGACCCAGATTACTCCGCGAGGCTGAACGACCCATTGACCCACCCATTGAACAGAATTTGGTGGTGAAAAATGTTTCTTATGTTAACCCAAGAGCTGTTAAAACTGACCGGGAACACTAAAGTAAGGGGTGGGGGTGAACGTAACCGGAGGGTTAAGCGGTGCGGTAGTTTACCAAAGTCGAGTTTTGAGCGCCGTGTAGCACATAAAATCGGTTCTAGGTCAGTAAGCACAACCAGAATTCATACATAAGGTGGACCGGATTATAAGGAGCACTGTCAATTTTTGTGAAAATTAAAGGCTTTAAAGTGCGCCTTTTAGTGCAAAAAATACAGTAGTCGAAAATCATGAAAAGTGATCTTTTTAAACTTTTATGAAGACTTTGCTAAAGCTAACCTTTCAAACATTAACCAAAGCATCCTACAGAGCAATTTTATGTAATTAATAGTAGGGGTGCAACGATACACAAAATTCACGGTTCAGTTCGATATTTTTTCGATACAAAAAAATGTTCATGCCTTTTTAATTTGTCATTTATTAAAATTATAAATATATATTTTAACTCAAAAGTACAGTTTTTAAATTTAACCCTAACCCTTGTGCGTGTTTTTTATTTTGACAGCGAATGCGCACCTGCGGACCACTTATGTGCAGCCCTGGTTATTTAGCTCGTCATATTGCAGCCACAGAAATTCTTTTGTCCATGAAACCATAAAGCTGCACTTTCTTTTTGCCTTATAGTCTGATTTGTCATAACTTCTCCGTTTTGTGGTAAGCTTTTCTTTGGCTGTCACTTCTTCACCCTGACCTGTCTTATTTGGCTCAGCAGAACTAAAATATATATCTGTCTGTGAAGGTTCTCAGTCATCCAGGTCATCGTAGTCAAATATAAATCCTGCTGCTTTTACACACGCACTCACATAAGCTCAGCGATTCTCTGCGCGATCAACCTCTCACATGTTTAAGCTGCGGGAGATTTCACTTGTCATGTTTGCATAGTAAGCTAACGATTAATAAGACGATGTCAGAGGAATTGGTGCACAAATTATCATCACTCACAGATCAGTGCTGTCGCTCTCTATACACAGTTCGCACGATTGCAAAGTGAAAGCAAAAAACAAGCGCAAATTCAAACGCGATTTCAATATGTCACATATTGACAGTGGCTCACCGATGCCAATGACATAATTACCCAGCTACATTTCCGAAAGAATGCAAAAGCATTGACATATATTTTTCCTTCCTACAATAGCCCGACGGGCAGGGCAGAGATAGATTTTGGTAGCCCGACTGAAAAAATCGCTAGCCCCAGGACGTCGGGCTAGCGATATTGCGAGCCCTGTATCTGATTGAGGAATCACTCATCTTTGGAAAAGAGAGTTTATTACAGAGAAATGTCTCTTTCCAAAATAAAAGCTATACTATCCGCTTCTTCTGGGCTATATTCTCAGCAGCATAAGGAGAATCATGTGCTAACAGCTGTCTAAATGACTCGGCTAAAGTTAGTAGCATGCTTGTTGTTTTTGTCTTTGCACTAGGATGATGTCGGCGTAAATGTGCAGTCATATTCGTTGTGTTCCCACTAGTGCTTTCAGGTTAATCTCGTTGAAATGACCTTAACGCCACAACACGGCAAATCTCCGTTAACGAGCTACCGCCGATCGCCCCGTGCATGGGGCTAGACGGCCAACACGTTAACGAGCTAACTGCGCTAACACACTAGTTCCCACCCATGTAATTGAGCATTGCATGGCACATCCAACATACTGTTTTACTTTAGTCCATGACTCGCTTACCTTCAGGGTCATACGTCACATGAAAACCAAAATAATTCCAAACGCCAGATCTGAATGAGGGTGGGGGAGGTGCCCTGCGCTCTTCCTTCTGACTATGCTGTCTGTGTTGAGCGCTCAGTGGATCTGCGCTCGACAGTGCAGCCTAGGCGGAGTAGTCGAACGCAGATTCACTGAGCGCTCCACACAGACAGCATCGTCAGAAGGAAAGTTGATAAAATAAATTACAAATGTTGTATTGTTCGATACATATGCGTACCGAACCGAAAGCACTGTAACGAACGGTTCAATATCGATACGAATATCGTTGCACCCCTAATTAATAGATCTACTACCACATTTTGCCTTATCTTTAGAAATGTTTTGAACTGAACTAAATGCTTTAATACCCCTGAATTATTCTCTAAAAACAGTTTAGGACAAGCAGCTGCTTGACAAATTAAAAGAGTCTAGTTTGAGTTTTTTTGTACTTTGTTCAAATTGAATGATTACTATGGTTTCTAGACAAAAACTTACCATTTTTCTCATCTGTCAAGCATGTGGATAAAGTAAGAGGATTTTAACGACATAAGCAAATTTGAAACAATTTCAATCATGAGGCTTTGATGAAAGCTACTGAACTCTAAGAAACCATTGATGGGGTTGGATTTGACTTCATTTTATCAGAGGCATGTTGCACAACACAGATCTAACTAACGGCAAAAGGGAAAGCTGACAGCACGTGCTACTAATACTGCTATAGCACACCATCTACCTGGTGAGTTCTACATCTGCCTCAGATACATCTTACCGGCAAAGAACATTGGAGACTTATGGCGCAACTCTTCCATTTTCTGAGCAAACAGGGCATTCATCTCTCTTTGAAGGGTACCCACAGCCCTCTTCCGGGTGTCAAGAATAGAACAAGGGGGCAGCGTAGGAAGAGACTCCAAACTGCTCAGACTGCCAAAGCTCTGGCAGCTACTACTGTCACTGAGCAAGAGACCTGAATTCATGTCACTGTATGTCAGTTTAGTGAGTACAGAGCCATAAACAGCACCATAGTTGGGTGGTGTCGCCTGCTGCCAACAGTGAGTGCTCCTGCAGTCTGGTGCGAGGCTTGGTGCTGGTGTAACAGCATTGGAGGATCGTCTGCGGGGAATGCTGCAGGAACGGGTGTACCTCTGTGACGTACCAGGTTGATTGTGGATATACTGGGCACCAAGTGTTTGTCTGAACTTAGATCTGGGGAATGGCATGGGCGAGTACTGAAATTGGGCCTCCATACAAGTCTTGGGTGTGGGAGGAACCTGCTGTACGTTGGGCTGGGCACCTAGGGACCGGGGCATGGCATCAGGTTCTGACTGGACTTGTCTCTTTGATGAGGAAGAGTGGTTACTTTTCTTTGGTCTCTCCCCATCTGTCACCTTGGACTTTTGCTCAACCTGACCCTCTCTTTCAGCCTCTGGGCTCCCCCTTGAGCCAGTCACACATGTGATGCAGTTGGAGGACATCCCCACACTGCCCGAGCTGCTAACAGCGAAACGTGCAAACACATTTGGCTTCGTGTCCAGCGGATCATGAATGCGGAGCCGAATGGCGCGCTTGAGAGGTTCACTCATTGGTCGTCGCTGAGTGTAGAACGAGCGCTTACCTTTACCTTCCTCGGGATGAAAATTTGTGTCGGAATGGTTCCACGGTCCCTTGGTTTGTTGGGGTGCCAGTGAATCCCCATTGTGGTGCTGAGAGGTAGCAGCAGAAGCCTTTTCTCCCTCCCTGGACTCTCGTTCCTCACTAGCTCCCTCTGAGCTGTAGTCTTTGGTGTCAATTGCAATGTCTGGTAAACCTTTCTTGATTTTGGGTTGACCTTTGGTAGGTGCACTGGCCGTGCGGCGCAGGAGGTGGGCCCCAAACGGGTTCTTACGGCTGTGCTGTACAGCAGTGTGACTGTCCAGGGAAGCCTGCTTTGGGTTTCTGTGAAACAACCCTTTTATGCCGCTGGCTGCTCTTGCCTGACAAAAACACAACAGGACATCATTGCCAAACACAATTCCCAAATAAGTTGAAGATATTGAAAACAATCTGCCATATTACACTAAATTCATTGCACCCAATGAATTTACTGCAGTAGTACATACATAGGATTAGTATAATGAGCATGCTTAAAATGAGGAAAGTAAATTAAATCCACATTTCCCACAGAAACGCACATGTGTGACTGATCTCTCATAGATCACACTGACATGATCATCCAGCTGCAACCATGCTGACTAGCTTTGAAATCCACTTGGATTCAAAGTGTTAGACATTTTAAGCAACCAGCTGAAGATCCTGTAGCAAAATATCAGTTACATGTACACATGCTTGAAGGTAACTGGCAAAGTTGAACAAAAACCTTCTCAACACTGCATGGATGTTTTCACTAAAACAGAAGGTCAAAGGTTACAATGACTGGAACAAAAGAAGGACACTGTGGCCGTGATGATTGTGAAACTCAGTGTCTTGGGGTCTTAATTTTAGTTAGTTTAGTCAGTTAACTTCCATCAAGATGGCTGTAAATTCAAAAACAGTCCCAGCCTAGAGATCATAATTTGTGAAGATCATTTGTAGACCACGGATTTGCTGACTAGTCAAATTACTAGGACAGTACTGTATAACCAAAGGAACAAAGACCATGTCAGCAGGCTAACTCACCTCATCTTTTCGGGATCTTGACTATTGTAGAAAGAGTTCTTAGCAAGGCAATTCATTCTTAGAGAGCTTGGAAAGAAAGCAACTGGGCTTCTTTAAGTTTCTGGAATGTCTAGTACATAGACACCTATACTGAAAGAATTTCACTGCCTAGACCAAAAACTGCAGAGGCTGGGAAAAAAAAAAGTGGGACCAGAACAATCGCATTCTACCACCTTACAATTTTCAGTACTTTAATTTAATGGACAGTTGAACAATTTGAGGGGGTGTGCACTGAGGAGAATGATGCAGGGTATGTGGCTCATGCAAGATTCTGACTGGATCTCACTACACCCAAGTTTTGAGTGGCAGCTTCAGGACTCCTAAACATTGTCTGCTTCTATGTTGAGCATTTCATAAAAGAGAGGTCCACTGCAATCACAAACAGACATGGGGAGAGAGTGGAAATGAGAAAGGAGAATGATAAAAGGAGAAAAAAATAGGTGGGCTGGGGCTTCAAACAGGAGTCACACAGCAACTCGAAGAAAGGCAACTTCAAAACAAGGACAATGTGGACAACAAAGTGGTCATTTACTAAATAGCTACTGATAGCTGAGGGCATCGAAAATATAGGCTGAATGAGGAATAACACTGAAGCTAGTGTGATCTGCAAAAACAGGTGCAGTCAGTATATTCTTATGAACAGAAAACTGAAATTTACACTGAAGTTTAAAAGCATAACAATAATAATAATAACAATAATAATGTATATATTTTACATGTCTGAATATGGTCTAGGTTACATAGTTCATAGTTCAGTTTTTGCTGAAATAACCACAAAGCAATAAACAAAAGGAGGCAAGGACGAGTGGCTAAGATTGGAGTGGATATTCTGCTATTAGAAAGTCTCCTAATCATAAGTACTGACAAGTTTTGTTTTGTTTCTAGGTTTTTTGTATTTTCAAACAATATTTCAAAAAGAAAATGAAAAGAAGTTTTTGTAGAAAAACAGTTTAATAACAATTATTATTATTATTATTATTATTATTATTATTATTATTATTATTATTATTAGTATTAGTATTAGTAGTAGTAGTAGTAGAATAATAATAATAATAATAATAATAATACCAAAACACAGATTTTGGTATTATAACTTGGTTTTTGGTGAAATAATCTAAGGTAAAGTTTATTGTATATTCATTACTGTATACTGTACTGTATATTCATTATTGTATATTCATTTTATTCATTCATTATTCATATATATATTCATTCATTTTATTCTATTCTGTACAGTTGTGTACTGTATTTATTCTTATTGTATTCTAATTTTTGCTTCATAACTTTTGCACTGTCCACTTCCTGCTGTGACAAAACAAATTTCCCACGTGTGGGACTAATAAAGGTTATCTTATCTTATCTTATTACAAGAACATCTGTAAAAGCTGTCAGTGCACAACGCTTTCATGAACATTTCTGTTTGAGAGCAAAGGTGAGCAAGACTTTAAGCTGGTTTCTGCAGTAATACCCACCTTACCAGTGACGTCATTAACAGCTACATGAACAAAGATGGAAGCTTCCTCCATTCCTTCCAAGTACACATGGCGATAGCCTGCATACAAAAATGTCAGAGACAGCTGCCTTATCAGGGACTCAAATATAACAGCCACAAAGGAATAGCTGTAGCCAAATACCCAATAAATACCAGCTCAACCAGCAGCAAAACTATCAATTGACATGATGTTAGCAGAGACTCGGAATCAAGAGCACCAAATTAGTTATATATAGTAGATGTATAGTGAGTTTGTATAGTGAGTTTCCGGTTCGAGTTCCTTGTTTAAGTATATAATCACTAAAACACAGCAGAAAACCTTGAACAAGTGTTAGTATCATTCAAAAGCAGCACCATGTCTTACCTGGCATCATGCTGTTAAAGGCAATGGTTCGCTGGCCAATGAAGTCCTGGCCAATTGGGTCATGATCCCACACAAGGAAACGAATCAGGGCCAGCTCGGGCATGTGAACCATGAACACCAAAGTCTCCTCCCACATCGGGTTGAAACCTACAGAACCATCCCAAATAGGGATGCAGAAGGGATGGGATAGGGGAGATATGTGTGGGAGGTGAGTGCAAAGCAAGAGCAGATAGGAGAAATAATATGATAGATAGCACAATAAGAGTAAGGCAGATAAGAGGACAGCATTTTGGCAAACGGGCATATAAAAGAGTAATAGAGACAGGGCAAATTATCTTTGCACTCATCAATTATTCAGGGTGTGTTTGAGAGAGAGAGTTTTTGGTGCTGCCTGTGCATGTCTCGTCTTGCTGGGCTCGTCAAGTATATATCAGAAAGCTGTCAAACTATATACACAGATTCACCATATTATATTATATTATATTATATTATATTATATATGTACAAAGCACAACAACAAACCACAGATGTCTACATGCAAACACCTGGACATTGACGTGACTGCGAGTGTCCACAGAAAACTCTCGACTACTTTTAGAAGCTGCAAGAAGCGTCTGCTTCACAGGAATTGCAAGGTTGAACTTGCAGTAAGCTTCATTTGCACGGTGCTTTCAGCTGACATGTTTAGTTGAATTTCCTGACATTACTCCTACAAGTTCACCCTGACATGGATTTGCACACCACTAGAGGTCAGCAAAAACTAGTTAGCTGTTCCAAAAGAACAAACAAAAAAAAAAACCCAGCATCTATTAGCAAGAAACTACATCACTGATAGCAAAGCTCCTCTGTTGTTTTTTATATATATAATTTTTGCCTGTGTGCGTCACAAAAGCAATCTTGAGCACCATTAACTGTCTAATGAGATCCCCATTCAGCTTTCTGAACGTGTTATTATTTCAGGTGGTGATATTGTATTTTCAAACTGCTGTATGAATGAGTTCATTCAGTTTAATATGTCTGAACTGCAGTTACCTTTACACCCACGGTGATGTCTTTCAAAGCACATAAACCTTTCAATACTGAGGCTAAGGTCACTCTTTCAAAATGAATTCAATCCCATGTTTAAAACACTACGGAGACATCACAGGTAACTGTTAAAGAGCTGGGCCCCAAATGTTAACATTTCTGTTTAGCAATGCTGGGACACAGGTCTGACCTTTATCAGATTTAAACCAAATACTTAACTATGTACTGCATTTATGGCATCAAAGGCTCAGGAAGCAGAAAATTCTGCAGAGTTTAAAAGGTAAAAACAGTTGGAGTCCATAAACAGCTTCATGTTGGGATGTCATGTGGAAACTTGTTTTTATCTAAAATCCAACAGATGGAAACAGCTGTGGTTGCAAAAAGACTTCCAGTCATGACCTAACCTCTTTAAACACTTCTTCTTGGCTGAGTTTATAGGCTGAGCCACTCGTTCTGACTCATACTAAATGAGAAACACTGTTTTTTTCTCGGTCATACCATGTTTAAGATGGATGATTACCTGTAGTATGAAACCACACACTCATTGGCTAACGACTTGTCAATCATCAGTCATCAGCTAATAAGCTTGCAGTCTGTCTCTCGGTCAGATCCGCCCCTTGGCAGAAGTGCTGAAGTCAAGACTTCAGAAATCAATGGACGGCATCACTCTAGCTGTATATGTTTATATGTATTTTATCTCTTTGTAAAGTTTATTTTATCTGTTTTCATTGTAAACCTACATCGGTTTTTATGTCGTTTTCTTCTGTGTGTCAAGCACATTGAGTTTGAGAAATTGAAATGCACCGTTTAAATACAATTGACATTTCATGACTAAATGGAGACCCACCATTATCATCCACCACTCTGGTCTGTTCCTTGCAGCAATCCACTGGGAGGCCAATGATCTCCACTTCCACAAAGGGATCAATGATCTGTCAGAAAGACATTGCACAGCTTTAAGACATCTACAATTTTGACCATTCTTTCAGCAGTCAGAGGTCAGGCCTAACTTGCAGTCTCTGCTTTAATTAAAGGTTTTTATCAGGTTGAGGTCAAGACTGTGCAGGTCCACGAAGTTCTTCGACCCCAAACTCTCTCATACATATCTTTGTGCTGTCATGTTGGAACAAGAAGGAGCCATCCCCAAATTGCTACCACAAAGTTGGGACCATGAAATCTCATTTCTGCTGTTCAATACCTAAGAAACTTAAACTTTTACAAATGATTGCTCAGCTGTGTCTGTAATCAAACATCTCTAACTTTGCTCTGCTTCACTTCAGCAGCTTCAGGTAATGTTCAGATGCTGATTCATGGTTTTCTTCAGTTTTGATCTACTGCAGAATAATTTAGGTTATCTGCTATAAAATGTCAGGCCTGGAAAATCTCCTTCATGTTTTTCTGTTTTTATCCTCAGTTACTTTGACACAAAGGCATCGGCTGTGATCCTCACACCTCTGATGAAGTCTCACAGTGTCAGCTTTGTTTTTATACATTGATAGTTTACACTGAGTTTGTAATTGCAGAAAAACAGTCAAATTGTTTAACATTTAACATTTTTAATTGTTACGACCCGTCTCAAAAGCCGCAACATAAATAAGGAGACAAACACCAGATTGTAGGTGAGAAGAGGTTTTAATCCTAAAATGCATAGCAGGTTGGCTAACATGGCTGGTACCACCAAGGCAAGGCTAGTGAGGCTTCCTGAAAGCCTGCCTCAGGTATCCTTTTGTCCATACCTGGTCAGGTGTGGTCAATTAGCAACAGCTCAACCCACTGAAGAGATTAGGGGCTGCAGAGGGACGTAACATTAATTTAGAAGTACATATAAAAGATAAATGATCAGGATTATAAATTGAATCGAAACCTTGTGAATTTGAATCAGTTGTAGAAATCAGTGGTGATACCCAGCCCTACAAATACCCATAGAACAGCAAATAGCTTACATTGGCCTGCCCATAAATCATTCAGACTAAAAGTAAGGCGCCTTCTCTGCAAAAAGACATTATGAGGAGGTGCTGCTTGTAAGGATGATTACAGATTTATCCCATATTCATTCAGTTCAACGTGGAAGTTCAATCCTATAAATCTAGTCTGTGGTCCTACCTCTCCTCGGTCTCCCAGCATTGAGTCTTTGGGTTTTGGCAGCTGTTGTCCACTAATGACCTTTAACACCAGCTGTTTCTTCATCTGACCAGGAATGGGGTCTTCCACGTTGGGGTTAAAGGCACCTGCAGTGGGTAAAATGATTACACTCTACTTGTGATTCTTCACTTATTGTAATAAAATGACAAATGTCAACCACTTCAACTATGAATTTTTTAAACTTTATTTTGTGATATTATAAAAAGCAGGACACACACATCCAGTCTGAGCCTATCTGGTTCTCTACACAAAACACTGGAAAACTCAAGTGAACTAAAGAACAGTAGAGGAGAGGGAGAGCATTAAATAAACTAAATACTGAAAAATTAGAAGCAGTTAGGGACCTGCTCAGTTAAAAACAAACAAACAAACAAACATGGAAAGATGCACAGCCTCTTTAATTCTTCTTCTTGCTACATGTCCTGTACAGTTATGGATGATATCTCTTTCTCCATCTTCCTCCACTCTCACATTAACCAAAAATAAGCATCAAAACTAATGAAAGGCAATGAAACTGATAACACACTGAAAAATGACAAACTAGTGAAATACCTTCGCTCATGAAGGCCGGTTTGAGGATGTAGCCACAGTTGCCATTACTATAGAATTTGGCTCTGTTGAGTTGGAGGACCCGGCCTTCAGACTGGTAGTTGAGTGCAACTGAAATCAAAGCATTTCATTTCATTGTTCATAGATTGGAAACCTTTAATATGCTAGGTAACAACCACTGAGGGAAAACCAATTGGCATGAGCACCACCTACATTAGTTTAGTCATGACAAACTGAAAGCATCCCTCATAATCTGCTACATTAAAACATTACACTAAATGTTTGGCCATACTGAATATAGTTTCAACATTCATACCAAGCTGGCACCCAGCATTCCAGAAGGGCTGAGGGTTGAAGTTGGAGGAGTCCACACGGTACGAGGAAGGATAGATGCGGGACAGCTGCCGCTGGTTGAACTGAATGAAGGACGATGCTTTTTGCTGCATCACCTGGTGGGCTTTAGTCTCACTCAGAGATGATACCTGCCAGCCACAGTTAGCTGCCAAGGATAGCACAGTTTTCTTCCTGAGGCTCATAAACTTTCCAAGTAAAGAAAATGCAGTAGTAGGTACATTACACTTATAGTTAGGGATGGGAAACTGAGAACTGGTTTTTGTAGAGAACCAGTGGTTCAGTTCCTTGGAATTGTTAGACTGCTTGCCTTTTGATCTCAGTTCCACTTGCACTTCAGTTCATGTGCAGGAAGAGGAAAATCACAACATGGTGCACCGAGTGGATACGGACATTTATTTTATTTTTACTGCGCAAAGGATGCGAGTGCATAGAGCACAGAAGAAACTGCATTATGCTGCTAATATAACTTTGGCTAAGCTAGCCAAGAACCAAGAGTGATGTTAAAGCTGCCGATCACAGCCCAGCAGCCAGACCTTCAACTTCAACAGGTAAAACCAGCAGTGATGAGCAGTTAGGCTGCAGCCTCAGTTGCTACCTGTTCATGTTTCTACTGTAGAATCACTTTGCCCTGGTTTTCATTTCTGCATCATGCTATCAACAAAATAGCATTAGGATAGAGATTTGTGTCGGTGTGTGGGACTGTAGCGTATAGCTTTATACTGTTAAATAGTAATGAAGAGTTTCGCAGGAAAGTAATGTATTGAGTAGTGTAATAAGTTACTTTTCTCTGGGAGCAATTAAGTAATATGCTGCATTACGTTTAAGAAAGGTGTTCTGTGTAATGCATTCATTTTTTGAGTAAGGACCAACAACAAAGAGTGGAACTACCTCCAACATGCACAGATATTTGACCTCACAGCAAGCAATGAATTTATACAAATGTAATCCCTTTGACATGCTGCTTAGCAATGGTTGACTCTCAAAGCAGAGCCAACAAGAATCGATAAGAGAACTGATAAATAATCAAATCGATAGCTGATAATGATCAATTCCCCATCCCTACTTATAGGGCACTGTCACTATAAACTAAGCTTTGTGCAGTGAAAATACATTTGCTAACCTTGTGCTTCGATGTCATAGAGACCCACAGACCGCGTGTATTTGACTAGATCTGACAGAGCTCTGGACAGCTTCATGGTTTTCTTCTTTCTGTAGAATAGACAAAAGACAAAAGGTGACACATGTGTGGAAACAGCTGGCAAGATAAGGAAAAAAACATCACACAGAGTTGATTTTGAGTCTTAGAGTCTCAGGGGATGTGGCTGGTTCAAGTGTTGGTGAACGTGTCAGCGAAACACAGGTGTTCATTTGAGCTGAAACCTTTTAGTGGGCGCTCAGGTCCTCCAGGCGATGCACTGTCACCCTGACCACTCCCATCAGGATAGAAATGTTTCATCATAGGATAGAGCTGAACAGGGTTCAAACCTAAAGTGTGTTCCTGTAGTTTCATTCATTTATTTTTTGGACCTCTGTCCATGTGTGTAAATAATGACTGTTCTTGCTTACGGTCTGTTTAGATCCACACAAAGATGTAATATCCCAAAAGGCTAGTATTAGGCATTGTATTGAAAAAGTAGAAAGTGTGGTGTACACCCCTCTCTATACCCTTTCTTATGATATTTTACTCGATATAGTTTCTTTTTTTGAGTTAAACTTTGAACTCGGGCACCAGCCATGACAGTCAGAGTCAAACGCTTAGCCAACCAAGGTGTTCGTGTCCCTCGAGGCCTGGTATATGTTTTGAACAATCCATAAAAAATTGTCAGTAACGTAAAGTTCTTGCTGATTTTTACATTGGGTATGACCTTGACCTGATTTTCAACAAAATTGCATCAGCTCAAGCTGTTTTTGATCTACCATCACACAAAATGTGAAAATTCTATCTAGAAAATTGTGGATATTGGACCACTAAAAAGAAAGACAAAGGGAACCAGTTAGACACACCTCACACAGACTGAGTGGCTTTTGCTTCTGCACACTTACACTACAATCAGCTGATTTCAGCTCGTATGCAGGAGCAGGAAAATGGTGGTACAGCATTACAGATTTTCAGGACTTTTCCTTATAAAGTGTTTGATCTTCTCAACAAAATAACCTCTCGTCTACATAATCAGACGATTGAATTATTTTTTTTAACTGGAAGCAAACACGCAGAGACCAGTACCTACTCTTTGACTCCCACCAACCTCTGGAACACAAAATCATCAGAACCCTGAACATAGAGGAAAAACTGTTCCCTCAGTCAGAAAGAGCTAGAAGGGAAATAAAAGGAACACACACATGTAAAGAAAGCTCTTAAAACATTGGGCTTAATTGGGTTTTCATCAAATTAGTACAGTGGTGGGAAAGAAGCAACTAGGGAGAAACAGTACGACACACAGAACAATGACAAACAGCCACACACTCAGACACAAACTGGTTCATCCCAAAGACAAATCTCCCAAACACAAAGTAAACAACATAGTGTGTGCTGTGCAGCGAGGAGTGCTCAGACCTCTACAGTGGAGAAACCAAACAGCTACTCTATAAACACATAGCACAACACAGAAGAGCCACAGGACAAAACTCAGCTGTCCATCTGCATCTAAAGGTCAAAGGAATCCAATGTTCACATTTTGGACAGAGAAGACTGAAAGAGGAGTGAAAGAAGTATCTATGTCCACTGTGGATGACCATCCTTGAACAGCTTATGACACCAACTGTCTGCCATCTATAATCCAGTTTTGAAATCCTTCCCAGACGCCTTAACGCCCACTCACACCTTGCGTCAGGTGATCTCAATAGGTCACATGACAGGGTGAGGCAAAGTCTCACAATGGTTTCACATGAAGCTTATATTTCTGGTGATTTAGCATTCGTCAAAATAACCTGATGAGACTAGAGACTGGCGGCACTGCTGTGTTGCAGTGGGTATGCCTGTATGTGATCAGCACAGTGAAGCATTCTGAAAATGTTCAGACCCTTTGAAAGCTGCCACATTTGGTAAGTTTCAGATTTGTCTGATAATCAGATTTTTCTACAATACCCACAGTTACAAAATAAATATGATCTGAATATATAACAGACTCAAAAGTTCCGTCTGAACTTTTTACTGACAGCACTTCTTTGTTAACCTTTCTGCATGGAGACTGTGTGTCTGAATGAAACACTGGTGCGTTGGTGTGTCATACTTGTTGTGATGCAGCGGGGCACGTGAAGCACTACTTGTGCTTTCTTGGTCTGTGTCTGTGTCTTCAAAGCTTGAGACCTTCTTCAGCTTGGATGCCTTTTTCTGTGAGGAGTGAGGAAGCACACGAGACTGTTCAAAGTTTTTCTTTCATTTTGAAAAGACAAGAAGATAACATTTTAAACCATCATGGACGCTTTTGATTAAATGAATAATAACAGACATAAACTTAATTTTAAGGAAGTCTTTTAGTCATCACAACAAAGGATGCAAATAAATGAATGCAGGTTAACCATCTTTTGTAAGAGTGCCAGTCTAGTCAATATCAAATACATAAAGATGACATTAATAGATTAATTGAATCCTACTTTAACTAACAAAAAGCAACTCTCTTAATTAGTGTGCTTATATTTAAATATGCTTAGATATGCTGTCTTCACCTGAACCAAGCAATAACTCATAATAATGCAAACTCTGTGTCAACATGTCAGTTCTACAGTGTCAGTGTTTGTCGTCCTCACAGAAGCAGAAAACTGAATGAGACAACAGGAGAGTTTACCTTGCGTTTAGAGAAGCTCTCTATGAAGGAGCGGCCTGAGCGCTTGTTGCTGCTTGGAAAAGCCTCATCTGCTGTGTCCATCGCATCCTTACGTTTACCCTGACAAGAGAGGAGTAATGTATGTTTTAAAGAAATAAAGAAAATAAAGGTATCACTAGCTACATTTCCACCTCATACTGGAAGGCAAATACTTAAATGTGGAACACAATCTCAACTTTAAAGAGATGAAAAAAATCCATCAAAACTGTGGCTCACGATAGATATGGAGAGATAATTTAGGTGCATCTCAAAGATTCTAAAGGAAGAAAACATGAATTATTACATTTATGCCAGTGAAGTCGGAGAGCACTGATTTCTCCCACAGTGGTGCCCAACCTCACACGCAAACTACAGGAAACGCAGAAAAAAAAAAAGCTATGTGTAATCAAACTTAATGTCAATCATGACTTTATACTTGGAGATCGTTTTGATTTAGCCTTCTTATTTTAACAAACATGAAATTATTGTTCTCTTGCCTCGGAATTTGTTTCCCACAAAGTTTCAACCCTATTGGAAGGTGTTACACGGTTCAACGTTGTACTCTTTCCTCTTCCTACTCGTCTCATTTGGACTTCCAGATCAGCAGAAAACATGAGACACAGTGAAATTATTAGTTGTTTGGTGTATCCACTTTTTTGTTGTACTCACTGGTCTGTGGGTCCATAAATTCAATAGATTTTTAGAATTTGAGTGCAATTCATACACAGATTATTGTCCCATATGCACTAAATAACTTGTTTTTAGTGCATATGAGTCACATGATCGTTGGTGTTTTCTCTGTATTATTGTAAGGGGTTTACCTTACAGTATAAAGAGTCTTGAGGTGACTCCTGTTGTAATTTGGAGCTGTATAAATAAAATTGCATTGAATATAATCTCTCCAGTGTGTCCTGGGTCTGCCCCGGGCTTCTCCTGGTGGGATGGTGCCGAGCACGCATCCTTGTCAGATGCCCAAACCACCTCAACTGGCTCCTTTCGTTGTGGAGCAGCTCTAGTCTGAGCCCCTCCTGGACAGCATACCTCCTCACCCTCTCTCTAAGGGAGGGGCCAGTCACCCTTTGGATTGACCAGTAAATCGAGAGCTTTGCTTTTACACTCAGCTCTCTTTTCACCAGAACAGACCAGTGCAACGACTACATCACTGCCACTGCAGCCCCAATCTGTCTGTCAATGTCCCACTCACCCTCACTCACAAGACCCCAAGATACTTAAATTCCACCCTTTTCTGGTTTAGGACCATGGCCTGCGACTTGGAGGTGATGATTCTCTTCCCATCGCTTCACACTCAGCTGTGAACCACTCCACTGCCTCAGTGACCTCGCCCCCAGCGATGGATGAGTCTGTTTCTCTAAAGAAGACATGTCAATGGGATTAAGGAGGTCCTGTGGTCCTGTGACCTAAGGTGTCCTGGTGCCACGAGGACTTATGTACACTCTTATGTTCGAGCATGGTGTTCGTTATGAACAGTTTGGATTGCCAAGAAGGGCGTTCCCCCAATTGTGCCCCTTCAGGTCTCATGTGAGAGCTAAAATCTTTGAGTAGGACAACAGAGTCTTCATGTGGAGCACCCTCGAGCACCCCCACCCAGGGACTCCAAGAAAGCCGGTTATTCTGCACATAAGTACAGAGAACAGTCAGTACCCGTTCCCTGACCCAAAAGCGCAGCGAGCAAACCTTATTGGACACTGGCAAAAACTCCAATCTTGGTATCCCACCCCAGTCGCTGCCTCTCATCGAGGGCAAACCCAGACTGGGACAGAGTCCAGCCCCTCTCCACAATGCTGGTTCCAGAACCCAAGCCAATATCTAGGCGTTACGTCTCAACCTCACAAACAGCTCGGTTCAGGCTCAGTCTCTTTCCCCACCAGAGAGGTGACGTTCCATGTCCCAGTCGCTAGACTTGGAAGCTAGTAATCAGTCTGCCGGGGCCTCTGCCTTTGGCTGCCGCCAAGCACACACTTCACCCGACCCCTATGGCGCCCTCTGTGGGTGGTTGAAATGGATACTGAGACAAAACATTTGCTCTCTGTGTTTACCTTACTGCAAGTTTTATCCATGGTCTTCCCAGCAGGAGGGAGGGCTGTGATGGTAAAGCTGTCTGGATCCTCTCTGTCTCGGATCTTGGATTCCTTCATCAAGTTGTCAAGCTTCTTCTTGGCCATGTTCTCTATTTGCTTTCTGTCAGCTGACATCTGGAGGAGGAATTAAACAGATTCATTTCAGCTGTGACACAACAGGTGAAAAAGTCAGCAACTCTAAAACTGTCTTATTGAGATAGATTTATATCATCTGTAATGAATTACAGGATATGTAATGTGGACATTAATTTATTTTGTGACACTTTCCTAGAGGACCTCAAAGTACACAGGTCTGGGATGACATTTTTAAGGTCACTCTTTTTGTTGCTGTTTGCACTCTTGTTTTTATGTATCATTTTCTTCCCTGTCACAACCTTTAAGCATCATGGTATCAGTAATATTGGTAACACAGTAACACATCAGTATCATTAACACTGCTCACTTTGAAAACAGTTCTGGTGTTCTACTGAATTTAGGTCAGCCGAACATGCTGGCTGTTAAACGCCCATTCAATTCCTTCGTCCACCAGGAACTGTCTGCATACTCTCAACACACGAGGATGTTCATGCACCCGGGGCCACTGCACCAGTGTAGGGTCTAACAGGTCCCAGGATTTCATCTTAGTGACAAGCAGGGTGTCATTGCCCAGCCTATACAGGTCTGTGGGCCCCTCCATTGGATATGCCTCCCCAGACCACCACTGACCCACTATCAAACTGATCATGCTGAATGATGTCACAGGCAGCATAATGTTCTCCACAGCTTCTCCAGACCCTTTCATATCTGTCACATGTGCTCAGGGTGAACCTGCTTTCCTCTGTACAAAGCACAGGACACCAGCAGTGGACCTGCCACCACGAGACAATGCCAATCATTTTCCACAGTGCCGAGCAGTGAGCACAGGGCGCACTAGAGGACGGTGTGTTGTCAGAGACATTCCCACCAGCAGCCTGCTGGAGTCAGTTTGTAGCTCTTGGAGTGCTGATCCTGTGACTCCTTGCATAAAGGAGCAGATTCTGTTCCTGCTGAGGGTTAAGGACCCTGTCCAGGTGCCTCGAGTAGCTGCCTGTCTCCTGGAATCTCCTCCATGGTCTTGAGACTGTGCTGGCAGATAAAGGAAAACTTCTGGGAATGGCACATGCTGAAGTTCTATCTTGGAGGAGTCGGACTACCTGTGCTACCTCTGTACGGTCCAGGTACTGCCTCATGTTACCAGTATTGATACTGACCCTAGCCAAATGCAAAGGTAGTGAAAAACGTTCAGAACAGACGAAGAGAATGAATGTGAGTGGCCTCCACCTGTGCATCCATTCCTGTTTAGAGGGTGGTCTCATTGTTGCTCCTCTAATGAAACTAGCCTGCTGTTAATTCCATCAGCACATGCTGAAACTTGTTAACAACCCAGGCTGCTACTTAACTGATTAAATCAACATCCTAGAGTTGTGAGATTATTATACTATCTTATGCCACCTTATACTTCTAATCATATAGACCACATTATGCCTTGGATTAAAGATTGTGAAATCATTACACTGTTTTATGATGCATTATACTGCTGATTTATAAGAAATACTGTTGTCAGAGAATCATGGCCTTATTTGTCTGATTAGAAAGAACAGGAAGCAAAAGCACAGCAGCATTCCTCCAGAGGCCATCCAAAGGTCAGGTTTCATCATGTTACATAACACAGAGCACAACTGTGTCAGTGATATAACCCATTCCAGATGTGGTGTAAAATGTCATTCTTATATACTGTCTTTAACCTCCTAGGACCTGGAGTCCACATATGTGGACATCACATTTTGGGTTATTTAGACCAAAATACTAAATTTTGCTCTACAAGGGCCTGATAGCCACTTACGAGGACATTATACTGCTACTGTTCTATCGAAATTTTAAACGAATATCCTCATATGTGGCTCTCACTTTTCTTAGAAACAAAAACCAGGTAAAAAAAAAACAAAAATCTGGTAATTCTTTGTTTTTCCATTCATCAGGTCCCAATCAGCTCAAATATCAAAGATAAATTAAAAATGCATGCTATGAAAGAGTTCAGGTCTTAGGAGGTAACGACAGGATTATATTATGAGTGTTCATTGAGGTTGACAGGCATTATGTCATTTGTAAGAATACTTGGATAACGATAACCAGGTCTGAGCAGACGGGGGGAAAAAAACCCATCATGCAGAAACCCATATTTCAAACAAGGAGCAAAGATGCAGCGATACATAACATTACATAATTCATGTTAGTGATGTAACACATTTCAGATGTGGGAGTAAGACTCTGCATAATAATATGAATTATACATATAGTCAGATCAGAATCTGGATATCATAAAGGAACCAGTGCAAAATGGGAGAGGGACATGAAGCATTAGCAACAAGAAATACAAGCATACCTCACATTTCATCAGCTGGACAAAAGGACGCAAATTGTTTTGCTAGACTGAACAAATAGATACCAGATAGGTACATACATCCCCATTGATCAGCTTACAGTCATCCTCCATTTCATCAGCACTGTCCTCGTCAGACACATCTCCCTCCTCTGCATTCTCGTCTATGTTGGGAGGAAGTTTCTTACCCTGTCAGAGTGGACAAAATAAATCACACGAGATTCTTATATTCTAACACAGAAGAGATATTCACCATATAGTATAATCACAATGTGCATGTCAATGTAGTACACACATCGATGGTGGTTTTAATGTAGAGCACTGGGTTGGAGGTTAATTGGATATTGTGGCTAAAACGTGCCTAATTCAAAGTAAGTTAAAGTAACATTAAATTAACCTAGTTAATTAATTAATTAACCTAAATAATTTCAGACAGGTGGAGTACGTGTTCTGAAAAGGACTGCCCCAAAATTTGGTTTTTGTCTGAAAAGCAGAAAAATTGGTTTTCAGCTGCGTCAGTGTAGAGCGCTCTCCGGGACATGACCATCCCACCACAGTGGGACGACCTCAGTGAGTTTCACTGCAGGTTTACCAATCCGCCCCAGGGGTGTGTCCTCTCTCCTCTGCTCTTCTCCCTGTACACAGTACAGTTTGCAGATCACATGACAGCATTTAGACTCATCTAGGACGGCAGTGAGTGTGGCTCTGTGGTGCAGTCAGAGTAACCTCGAGGTGAATACGCTCAGAACTGTAGGAATGACCGTGGCCTTCAGGAGGAACCCCTCTCCATACACAGCAGCACAGTGTGTGCTATGGAAACCTCCAGGTTTCTGGGATCCACGGTCTCCCAGGATCTGAAGTGGTCCCCCAATAGAGACACAATCATCAGAAAAGGCCTGGCAGAGCATCCACTTCCTCTGCCAGCTCAGGAAGTTCAACCAGTCTTAGAAGCTGTTGAAACATTTCTGCTCTGCAGTAACACAGTCAGTTCTTTGCTCATCCATCACTGTATGGTTTGGATCAGCCACCAAACAGGACAAGGACAGACTATAGAGGACAGTGAGGACAGCAGAAAAAAAAAATCACTGCTGCCAAATTCATTCAGTACAAATCAAGAGTCGAGAAACGAACAGACATCAGCTCTGCAAACCATCACACCATGGTCACAACCTGTTCCTGCCGCTCCCTCTGATACATGCTCCAGATCAAAGCATGCAGTATATATACTGTTTTGTTTTGGTGTATATATGAAATAAGTATTGAACTATTTCTAAAGGGGCTCATTAACCAGGTGTCTAACAAGAAACATCTCATGATGGGTAAAACCAGTGAGCTCTCTCAAGATCTTTACAACCTTATTTTTGCAAAACATACTGATAATAATTTCTAAACTGTTCCAGGTTCCAGTGAAAACTGTTGGGGCAATAATCCAGAAGAAGAGGAAAAAACATAATTTCACTATAAACCCGCCACGACCACATGCCCCCTGCAAGATTCAGACAGAGGAGTGAATAATCAGAGGAGCACTTGTGGACAGCTACAGAAAGACCTGGAATCAGCAGGTACATTTGTCTCAAAGAAAACAATAAGTATGGCCTGTATGCATCACACAAGACTCCACTGCTGAAGAAAAAGCTGGCTCTGAAGGCTACTGCAGTTTCTGTGTATCTACTCTATTAAGGGTTGTAAGGGCGCCGCAATCCATCTCAGCTGTCATAAATTACATTTAATCTGATAATAAATGAGGGAAACACATCTCTATCAACATTTCATCCCTCAGAGCTTTTAGAGATCTGAATGTAGCTCATGACCCAGAAGTGCACCTGCAACCAGTTATCTGCAGAGTCTGCACTTAAGATATTTTTGTACAATAACAAAAACACCCAGATAATAATCCAGCTACCATCTAGTGTTCACACACACACACACACACACACACGCACGCACGCGCACACACACACACACACACACACACACACGCACACAAATAGTCCAAAGTGATTTTTGTTTTCTTTCTATTGGCTTCATATGTCACTCTCTGCTTCTGTCTCACTACTTTGATCACCCCATTATATCATATACCTTTGAAGTTATTCTGTGAGTTTCAGACTCTGGATAATAAAAGCAGTAAGATGAGATAATTGCCGGAGGACTGCTTCCTCACACCAAAGAAAATCTGTCACTTTCAAACATCCATATTGGGATTTTACCTTCACAAGGATCTTGCCCCTGAGTGCTTCTGGGGATGGCAGCTGCCCAGATTCATCAGCTTTGATGTTGGAGACATCCAGCTTGTCCCCCAGGATCTCAATCAGGTACTGAGCCATCTTCTTTTGCTGGGGAACACTGCAGTGGTTCTCTATAGAGAGGATCACTGGGTAGCTAGCAGACAATCACACAGGTTGGAGAAAGAGGGCTGTGTCAGCTGGTTGTTACAGCACAGCTTAATTATTTCACACTTTTCACACTTTGAGTTTTCTTGATTTTACCGTCAGTACAGGTGGAAGAATACTGTAAATTACAGTAATGGCAAAGCATTGGCACATACATGGCTGTGTAACAGTGTTGTTCACTGTTTGACGATGCCTGTTTGTTTTTGTTTACACTACTCTCTGTATCCGGTTTGGAGTATTTGTTGTGTTACTGAGGTTTAATTTTGGATTACAGCTGGTGGACTAATACCAACCCCATTTTAACACTACTTAGTTTAAATTATTAGTCCTTGCAATATTTTATAAGCAGGATACTAGTTGGCAATCTAGCTGGCAGGTTTCCAGGGTAACGCTACAAGAGCGCAGTAAGGTGATGGTATTAAAAAGCCACAGAGTTTATGACAGAGGAGATCACTACGGTCACACTGCAGCAGAAAGCCACTCTGGGCCTGGTGGAGGAACTGAGAACATTTTTATACATGGACCATAACGTTCTTTATGGGAGGATACAGGCCCAGAGAAGAATTTCTTCAACATCAGCAACAACTGGTGCTACTACAGTGATGAACAGTAATCACACCACAAAAATGTACAACAAATTATTCATCAATTTTAACAGCAGAAGTCTGTATGCTAATTGATAGGAGATAAACTGGAAGTCTAATACATTATAGTTCAATACTGAGAGTAAAGCAAAAAACATTCTGGACAACAATGTGATTTCACATTGTTTCTTGATTTCACAATTTGTGTTTCTTAGTTATAACAGTTCTTGTTGGCAATAAACCTTACACCACTGGAAAGCCTGTTTATTTCCCCTTCATTGGTGCTACATTTGCAAGGAAAGTGGATTTAGCAGTGGGTGGGTTGAGCAGCAAAGTTGAGTATGTGGGTTGCGCCCATGAAAAACTTGCCAAATCTTCTCCACCAGTGCCAGACAGCTTCTTCTGCTATTGACTTGTTTGGTGTCGTTTCCTGGATTGGATGACTGAAGTCTGAAGAAACAAGACATATCGGTAGCATGTGGAAGAACCATAGACAACCATAAGAGCCTGGCAGTTTCTCCTCATACTGGTCACCAGCTGGGTCACCCACTGCCATGGGATGGCATCACTTTATTCAACCAGCATTTGTTGTGAGTTAGCCAGTATGGTTCTGTTATGTATTAGCAGAACTGGAGGCAGGCCATTCCATCCTCTCCACTTCCAAACTCTGAAGGTAGTGTCTAATAAACCCCGCTCTGCGGAGCCAAACATTGTCATCTTGGAGAGTAACATTTGGTCCCGGACTGTGGAAATATGGGCCACTGTTTGCAGAGTCTCATCTCCATATCTCCATTTGAAACATTTCTTCCGGCCAGGACTGAAATCGGATGTTGTTCAATACTGCCATGTATGCCAAATAACTGCCAAGCCAACTGAAATAATTCCTCCAGCTCCCCTTTGTCCTATCCCAGTAGTAGAGGAGCCATTTCAAAAAGTGATTGTTGACTGTGTGGGGCCTTTACCTAAATCTAAAACTGGAAACCAGTTTCTGTTGACGGTTATGTGTGTTTCAACTAGGTTTCTGAGGCAATCCCACTACAGAGGATTACAGCTCAGATTGTTGCCAAACCTATGGCAGACCAAATGTTGAAAAGAATCTCACCAAAGGTTGTGCAAACAGACCAAGGCACCAACTTTAAGTCGAGAGTATTCGACCAAGCCCTTGAAACATTAGGCATCGAACACATAACCTCTAGTCCTTACCATCCTGAGAGTCAGGGGGCACCAGAGAGGTTTCATTAGACTTTGAATAATGATAATAATAATGGATTGCATTAACATAGCGCTTTTCTAGGCACCAAAGTCCTGGTGAACTGGGGTTTGGGCGTGACATGAGGGGTGGTCCTTTAAAGGTTTTTAAAGAGAGGCTGGCTAATCCGGTTGACAACACCAAGAGCCTTCTGGAGTATGTCAGAACACTAAATGACAGGGAATAAGCCCTCTTTAACCTAACAAGGAATGCACTAGCCGCTTCACAAGCAAAGATGAAGAGACACTTTGAGCAGAGGGCAGTCGACCGTTTATTCCAGCCAGGTGACAAAGTGCTCCTTCTCCTGCCTTATCCTGGCTCAGCTCTTTCTGTTAAATTGTCTGGTCCTTATGTTGTAGAGAAAAACCTCAGCAAGACCAACGACATTATTCAGACCCCAAACCTAGACGTCCTACTAGAATGTGTCACGTCAACATGATGAAGCTGTACAGCTCTTGTGAACCTTCACAAAAAGGTGGCCCAAGAACAAGTGGCTACATTCCCAATGGCTTCTGTTTCCAAGGTGGACGCTACTCAAGATGAAGAAGGGTTGGTGTTACGGGGTGCTGAGCCTCAAAGTGCTCGACTAGGCAATTCCCTGATATTGTCAACACTATCACAATACCTGTCCCACCTTCCTGATGAACAGAGCAATGATATCATAACACTCATGTTGGGATTCCCATCTCTGTTCAATGACGTCCCATCTCAAACCACTGTTATAAAACGTGTTGCTGACTAAACCTACACCAATCAAACAGCGCGCTTATTGGGTTAGCCCAGCAAAGAGGGAAATCATAAAACAGGAAGTTGAGTATATTCTTCAGAATGGCTTTTCAGTGCCAAGCTCCAGCTCTTGGAGTTCACCATGTCTCTTAGACACAAAGTCAGATGGAACTCCAAGATTCTGCACTGACTTTCGAAAGGTAAACTCCTCCAGCTTCCTGACCACTTCCTGCAGTACACAGTTATGCCTTTTGTAATGCTCCTGCAACCTTTCAGAGACTGGTCAACAAAGTTTTGGGAAACATCCCCAATACCTAGATGATATAGTTGTGTATAGTAGTGACTGGGCAACCCCCACGGCTACGTTGAAAGAAGTCTTCACTAGCCTAGAAAATGCATCCCTCGCTTTGAACCTTGCCAAGTGCAACTTAGCTAGAGGCAGTGTCCTCTACCTTGGCCAGCAGGTTGGTCTACAAAATGTGTGCCCTGCAGATGCCAAAGTCTCTGCAATTAAGGAGTTCCCCCAACCAACCACTAGTAGGGAACTGCGCTGTTTCGTTGGGATAACAGGATATTACTGGCGATTTTGTAAAAATCTTTCCTCTGTTGTTGCCCCTCTCACTGACTTAATCAGTCCCTCAGAGCCTTTTGTTTGATCTGAGGGTTGCCAACAAGCTTTTGAAAGCCTTAAAGGCCTACTTTGTTGCACTCCTGTATTGTCTACTCCTAACTTCTCTTTACCATTCAAACTGGAAATAGATGCCAGCGCAGTTGGGGCAGGAGAAGTGCTTCTCCAGGAGGATACCCAGGGCATTGACCATCCTGCGAGTTACTTCTCTCGCAAGTTTGATGAACATCAGCTCAGGTATTCTACCATTTAAAAGGAGACACTTGCTTTGTTGTGGGGGTTGCAACTTTTTGAAGTTTATATAGAGTCAAGTCAGAGTTCACAGATCACCACCCTTTGGTTTTCCTCTCTAGGATATATAATCACAACCAGCGTCCTATGCGTTGGTCACTGATTATTCAGAACTATGTTCTCGTCACAAAAAAGGTTCGGAAAACTTTGAAGCACACTCTGCGGTGCTATTTACATATGTCACCAAACCCCAAGTTTGGTTCTTAATGGGTGGGGGTGTTACATGCCAAGAGGTGTGGCTTTGTTTTTATGTTGCAAAAGCTGTTACACTATCAGTGCAGCAATCAGCATAGCAGTCTCCACGTCTTCTACTTAACTCTACAGTCCAACTGCCATAGCCAGAATCTGGACTCATTGCTGAGCATAAGGTTCCTCCACATCTCCAGGTTCAAATGTACACATTGCCAGCACCAGTGCAATCAGGCCCCGATGGAGAAGGGCAGTCATGGCAGGCCTCTCTATCGGACTGAAAAGGCTTTGTGCAGTCTGTTCCAGATTGTCAGGGTAGAGAGCAGGAGTACTGATGAGGAAACTCTTTTTGTGCTGTCGTCCTCTTGCTTTGCCAACTTCATGGTCTGTCTTTGAAATCCCTCATTGTATGGAACTTAGCCTTCAATGTGGAGATGGTAATAGGGGTCGCTCCACATCATGTTGCAAGTTGGTTTTGCAGAACACCAGTTTGAAGTTGCTGTATAGCACAGGCCCTATCCAGATCAATTGAACATGACATGCACCATCTGACTGCTTTAGCAGGGTCCATGCTAACAGGTGCTGCTAATAAGGTACCAAACAGTCTCCAGATAATCAGAACCTGAGGTACCAGACTCTCAAAACAAGAGTCAATAGCAGCAGAAGGTGTTTGGCATTAGCAGAGAAGATTTGGCAATTTTTTCACTGGCACAACCCGGTCGTCAGTGCAAGTCAGTTAAAAAGGATAACTATGGAAGCATGAATGAGAGCAAACATACTCATTCTTGACAAAGGCGTACTTGTTGATTGTCTCAATGACATCTCTGAAGAGGATCTTGGAGGTTAGGGTGTAGCCATGATGGACAATGGGCTCACCGTCCTGACCGTCCCAACAATCAACTGTGGACAGCAAAGAAGAGACAAAGCTGGCACTGAAATGTGCAAAACTTACAAAAGCAAGACAATGATGGGATAGAGTTTAAAAGACAACATGTTCCCTAATTACCATTTATTCGTTTATATGACAAAACTAAGATAAGTGAAGCCTGCAGGCAAGTTTACACACAGCACCCTGAATGTGAGTTTACACTAAACACTAATATAATCTTATATAACTAAGAAGACTGTATCAGTAACCTTTTATTAACAGAGCTGACCCAGATGACTAATGACTAACTTAAAAAAATAAATAAAAATACTACAAAAACCCAAAGTCTCTGACACGTAATACACAGCAAGTGTAACCACTCCAATAAAAGCATTAGTTTTGGTAGTTTGCTGGTCTGGAGCTTTGAGGGGTGTGTCAACACAATGCCCCAGCCGTAAAGGTCAAGACAGTGCAATACTCAGGCTAAATTAAGAACACAGCTTGTTACATTATTGGTGTTACAGTGTTGTCTGAGTCAGATTCTGTAAACTGTTGAATTAAACAAACAAGGCAATGCAAAAATTGGGACCACTGCCTGCCTTTAAGAGTATGACACTATTTAAGTTGTACCTGTGTACTGTGAGTGTATGTATGAGTCCATGCTAACCTTCCACACAGCGACAGCCAGACTGCAGCACCCAGGCATACATATCCACCCTGGACTGTGACATTAACTGATCACCCATCAGGTAAGTGTTGTGTGATGAGGCGATGAAGTAGTTGCACAGGGGCTGGGTCATGTCCTGGTTCACGCTGTAGTGATCTGGGTTGAAGATGTCCCCTGCTGGGCTGCGCATATAATTTGTAAAACCTGGAACGAAGTTGGACAAAGAATTTTCCTACAGGGTTCGTCTAACCATTTATCCAATCATTTGGTCTCAGGTCTAGTCTGAAGTGTAGGTTCAACTATATTGGAAGTTGTTAAATCTTAGTACTTTAATGTAGTAGTATGTTCTGAACAGGTATAGCTCTGAGTTTGGAAACATGGAAATATGTTAACTTTAAAGACTCAGATTCTATATGTCATTCACAATGCTTAATTAAAACATAAAATATAGAAATTAGTAAATGCAATATTTTATCAAGACATATAATACAGATAAATATTATAAAACTTTTGTTCCTTTATTTAAAAGAAAATGAGAACAAAAGTGAAAAAAATCACAACATTAAGAGAACAAAAATACTTTTCAGTATTAGACAAAAGATGCTGACATAGCTGGATTATACTGCGTGTAGTTTTACAATATATTAGCAAAACATTGGGACATTTCCTTCATATTGCTATGATAAAAAAAATATGGTTTTACACTAAAGTTTTAAACTAAATATTTCTATTGCAAAAAATCACTTCTATTGTTCGCCCATGCTTGCTGCTTCTTAGTGTTTCATCTTTAACTTTATGCTTCTTGGAGATCAGCTGGTCTTTTGCTGATGTAGACCTTTAGCTGACACATGATTGGGCAAAATGGCAAAATGACCAAAATCAAATTTCAGAAGCATTTCCTAAAACCAGTGTTGGGCAAGTTACGTTAAAAAAGTAATTAATTATAGTTACTCGTTACTTCTTCAAAAAAAGTAACTGAGTTACAAGATTCTAAAAGTAATTAATTATAGTTACTTTTTTTGAAGAAGTAACTAGTAACTGAGTTAGTAACTGAGTTACAAGATTCTAAAAGTAATTAATTACTTGAAAAGTAACTATTGTGTTACTTTAGTTTAATTGGCCATTTTTAACTACTTTTGATGTTTCCTCTACATTTCACATTAAAAACTATTTACTTTGCCTTGTTTGGTAACATTCTTTTCACCACAACCTCACGTGTCTGAATTTGCAGTTATGTTTTCATTTTGACATACTGTATTAACACAATTGATCTAAAATCAGACAAAAAACATAAAATCCGAGTAGAAAAAGTTATATTTTTTTACTGTAACAACCACAAATATGTTTAATAAATCATATTTCATAACTTTAAATATAAATATAAATTGTCAATTTTAAAATCCTATGCACAGGTTTTGCAAACAAAGTTATTTGCAGCCATTTACCTTTTACCTTGATTTTTTTAAATAACCATTTCAAACTATTTACATAACAATCAGCTGTTCTGCATTCAATAAGATGCCACACAAATTATTTGTGCCACTCCAAATATTTCTGTCCACTATTAAGGAGAACATCACAGCCTGATACCTGCAGGTCTGACAGGAGCAGGTGTATCACTCATCCTGTTTTCATTCACCAGTCACCTCATTGTTCTACACACTAATTACACAAGACAACACATTAACTACACACTCCAAACACGCTAAACGTCACAAATCTCTCACATTTCAAAACTCTCTCTCTCTCGCTCTCTCTCTCTCTCTCTCGCGGTCACTCCTAAACTTCCCCCTCTTCCTAAACAACCAAATGTAATATTACCATATCGTTTTTGATTGGTCGACATGGTGCATTTTTCCACCAACACCAATGGGCTGTTTCTGTTTAGTTTTTTTATTTTTTGGTCAAAAGCAGAGAGTGCTTGCTAGCGCTGTCCTTAGACAGTAAACGTGACGAAACTATTCAGGAAAAAACACAGCGTATATATTGTTTATCATGAAGTGTCATCTTGGCTTACCACGACTACTTTATTGTTCCTCAGTCAAACAGCAGCACTCATGCGATTGTTTTGCCCCCTTATCTACCGGTGTTGTGCCAAAAAGTGATCGTCGGGCAGAAAGTGAGCGGAGTGAAGCTGACCCCCCCCCCACTTGAAACATAAAGGCAAATAGGCGGAGTGGTTAGTGCTACGTTTGTGTAGATTTGTGCAGGTAAAATTAGTGTTTGTGCTGCTACGGTTTCTGAGATATAACGATTTTAATTCTTACAGCCTATGCTGTTTAACAACAGTGTCTGTGGCAGTGAGTTTCAGCAGCTGTGGAGTGGACCACTTTTATAGAAGACTGTCCACTTTTTTTAGGCTTGCTGCATATTAAGTTTTATTATTTATTTTTTTTTAGTACACCAATTTAGTCAGTGGAAAGGTTGACATTTCTTTTGTTACCAGTGCAGAAACGTACACATGGTAGACTAAAGTTTTTATATTTTCTGTGGAAAACTGTGAGTTACATGTGAAGTGATTCATGTATACCTAAATCATTATTTTTTCACATACCCAGTTTGTCTCTATGATTCTATTTTGAATTATATATGTTCATTATTATTATTGTAGCTGTCTCAGAAAAAATAAAGTGCTTGGTTTCATAGGTTGTCACCTACATGTAGAAAATTGAATATTCCACAGCACCTAGGCCAGGGATCTTCAACCTGCGGCTCTAAAGCCACATGTGGCAAAATAAACTCTTTACGGCAATATTTTTTCATCGTTTTGATGGTCACTGTAGTGGCTATATTAATTTCTTAAAGTTCTCTCTTTCTCTTATATTTAATATAACCACACTACGGACGGACAAGCGCCTGTTTTTATGCGTTGTTGTTAGCAACAACGACGGTAAAACCATCGCATGTCCGCTTGTTTATGTTCCACATAAACCTTTCACAATAAAGCTCAAGATCCTGTTGAGACTTTTCAAAATAAACTGAATCACGTGAAAGAGCAGATTATTTACGGATGAGAAGTAAAAAAGAGCCGCCAGGTGCTAAAAAATAAATCTTAGATTCAAACGTTAGAACAGGCTTTTCCCAGCAGCACGCCGTGTAATAAATACTCACAAAGAAAACAACTTATGTCTAAAAATGTATCGTTTCATGCATCGGTTAAAACGTTATCGGAACGATGAGATTTTGGTCATATCGCACAGCCCTAGCTTTCACGATACAACAACTAATTTTCTAGATATTTATAAGCGCTTTCTTTTTTTTAGGCTCTAGACATGTTTTGTAGCAGCAGGGGAAAAAAAGGGGCCCTTTGAACTGAAAAGGATGCTGACCCGTGACCTAAGTCATGAGGTCAACACAAAACAAATACAGAAAATTATTGACAGAAAAATGGAACGGTTACTTTCAAGAGGCTACAGGTGAAGATGAATGGGTGTGTAAAAGCAAATATACATCAGACTGACAAAGAAAAGAGCGTTAAAAGATTTTTACTTTTGAACTTTAACTTTATATGCAAAACTGAACTTACAGATAACACACACTAGCCATATTGAACACATGCAACTGTAATGAACCAAATAAAACAGAAAAATGCAGGCAACACTCATTATACAGTGTATAACAGTATAACTGTGAGTAACTGTCCCTGCACAGAGCTCATTTGCTGTGGTGCTGTCTTCTGTTTTGAATTCTGATGGACACAGAGATGGACTGGAGAGTGGCCTGAGGCAGGTAGACTCAGGTAGGCCATGTCCTGCTTCCACAGCAGTGCCAAGATGAACTATAGCAGACTCTTTGAGGACAGAGATGGCAGGAGAAACAAATGGCACTTCCCTTGTCATTCCTTTGCTGAGGTAGCAGTGCTGTGAAGAGCAGCATTTTGTAAAATAAACACTTAATATGTTCCTCACTGTCTTAGCAATTACAGCGGAGATATTGCACTGAGCATCGATTTGGATCGCACCAGACCTCAACTGGTCAGCTTCGAACATTGCACTAAGCAGCTATGCCCTCCTGTATGTTTGATGGGTCACACCATCTGTGGCAATGGCTTTCACCAGCTGCAAGACTGGGTTTTCACTGTCTTTCAGAACAGCATTTTAAAATGTGGAGCTGTCACAGAAGGCACAACATAAGCACTGAAAAAAATGCATCAAATGCACAGGTACTGAGCACAGAGATTGTTGATTCCTCTAATCTAATAGGCTGATGAAGGTTTCCATTTTTTAATAATCCCACCTTCACTCTTTTGGCCCAAAAAGATTCATCTGCATGGAGCCATTCGGTACATGGAGAGAGGTAGGAAGTCCTCTTCCTTTTTTTGGGTGGAACAGCTAGGCCCCTCCAGTTCTCAGCTGCATCTTCATCAGCTGGAGGAATGTTTGTGGCAGCATCAGATCCCACAAACAGGTGAGCATCCATTTTTATTTTGTCTTCTGCACTGTGAGTTGTCATGGATCCAGAATTGGCATCTGTGACTTCCAGTGATCCCACTGTTGCCTCATCTTTGGTCTGTTCTTTTGCAGAACAAATAAGCATATTTCCCTCGATGAAAGAAAGATGACGAGCAATAAAGCAATCGACTCGAACAGGCAAGTTTTCATGTCTGAAAAGGCCATGTTTTATGTTTTTGAACTCAGCTTCAACAGTGGCTCACCTTGTGATGCTGGTGCTTTGGAAGAGAGGGACCATTATTCCTGTCCAGAGTGGCAAGTAAATTGCCACTCTTTCTAACTGGCAAGTAACTTGCCACTCTTATTATATGAGGAATAATCTCAAGGAGAAAGTGAATATTATCTCTATCCCCGTTTGCTGCAGCAAGTGACCTGCTCTCCTCACATATTTCTGTTACCCATTGTCGTAGGTCAGTCTGGATCTCATCCACTGAATCCACTCTCTCACTTTCCTCGGTCTGTTCATCTGGAATGATGATGGAGTCTTGAGCAATTTGGGCTTTCAGCGCGCAACATCAACCCTGATAAAACAAGGGAGGAGTTTGGCAGACTGGGTTCCAAGAAGGACATGAAAGCATTCATTAAGGTAGGACTTCAGATCAGGATGAGGAGTGAAAGCCTTGACCAGAGCTCCCAGAATTGCCAGACGAAAGTCACTCACAGCTTCCTTTGGTACAGGTACACCTACATGAATCCATTCTGTCAACCAGTTTGCGATGGCATTAACATCATGTTTCTCTGATAGCATTTGCA